TTCTGGCCCCAGTTATTTGCTGGGATTTGCCGTGGAGGTGGTGAGGAGCGGAGGAATAACAGTGTTATCCTGGCTTTGGTTTGATAAAGCTGTTACATTAGCGGTTTGATGGGCTAGAATTTACTTTTTTCGCCACCTTTTTTAGCAGCTGCTGTTTTTTAAACTCTTGTGATTTCCCTTTAGGCAGAAATGTTTTAAAAACAAACTTGGCTATCATCTCGAAAAAGGCACATACCTGTTAACCGCTCGCTCAGTAACAGAGGGATGTAAAAATTCAAAGCAGTTGAATTCTCCTGCTTGGCTAAGATTTAATAAAACAAGGAAAACGCAGATGGAGGAGGGAAAATGTTGTGTTTTAAAGAGAGGGCATCTCTGATAGTTCATGTAGTTGCTGCTGCTGTGTTTGCAGCCCCCAGCCCCAGGTATTCCCTACATCTCCGGGGTGTAGGAATACTGTGCTAATGATTGAGTGTTTTTCCTTATTGTTTGCTTTGAGGCTTTTTGTTTTCTAAAGGAAGTGGAAAAAGTTTAACACCAAGAAGTATGGGCAGTACAGTGCAGCTCAGTAAAGCCAATCCGACCTGTTAAGGATCTCGATGTGCTCTGGGCTGGGACTGGGAAATTCAGTGTCTGCTCCCGGCTCCGCGGGCTGCACTCGTGAGCGAGTCACCGTGTCTTTCTCCAGCAGTTACCACCTGTAAGATGGAGATAAAAATAATGGTCTTCCTGTAACAGTTTTCCAGGTTAGGGGAGGTGGGCACCGTACCAGTGCCCTCGTTAGCGTTTTTGTAATGAGGCTGTGCAGACCGGTGCCTGGCCCTGGTGGGAGGTCGTGTGTGCGAGTGTGCAACGCTCCTCCTCTTCCTCCTTGTGAGCTCATAGGTTTATTGCTGTGGAGTGCATGGACAACACCTGAATCGCTGCCCTGGGAAGTGCAAGATGGATGTGTGGAAGTGGCTGAGTGTGTCATACCCCCAGTTGGCACCGTAGCAGCTGCCTCTTGCAGTGAGTACATTTAAACGTGCTTTGAACCAGGAGGCGATAAAATGTTCAAGATCTGACAAACAGCTGCTTTTCCATCTGACCACTCATTATCAATGCCTCGGCTTTGGATTTGGATTTTTTCCTTCTACATCTTGATAGTACAAGTGCTACAAAGGCATCTCTTGTTGGGAAGCCTTAGCCGTGTTTGCCAGGTGTGGGCTGGGCTTTGAGCGTGTCACCTTGTTCTGCTGCTGCAGACTCTGGAGTAGGAAATTGCAATTTGTTTTAAGCACTTTATAAACAGGGCAGCAGCCCTTTCTGTAGGTAATTTTTTTTTTGTTTGTGTGAAGACTAGGGAGAAGTGTGAGAATCCTTTACACAAAAATACACAGAATATTTGAGACTGTAAGAGAGTCAGAGTTCAAACAAGAGGGGCTCTTTAACTAGACCTCCTCAAAAATACAGAATAAATGGTTTTGGCAGGGAGGAACTAACCTTTATCATACCTTTTTCATTTTTGTTTGAGTTCACTAATTAATGTTAATAGGCTGTTACGTTTTTATACAGCTTTGTTGTAGCTGCCTGTCATAAAGTGGCTAATCTATGTGTTTTAACTGAGTCGCTTCTGTATAAAACTGACCCTGTGGTATATGCTGGGAACCACTGGTTACTGTGTATTTTTCAAATAAGTGACCCCAAGGAATCTATACCAATTACCAGTCTGCTATTACAGGTTGTTTATTACTGTTTTTTTTCCAAAACCTTCATCACTGGGAAAAAAAATGAAAGAATGAAAATTCAGGCTACCTGAGTAAAATTGTGGAAAAACCCCAGAACTTAGATGTTTGAAAGTAATTTCAATACTAGCAGGCTATCCTGAAGTCTTTGTTTAAAGTAAATAAACAAGGTTTTATCCAGTGACTGGTTGTGGGGGAGGTTGTACACCTCTCTCCCCCTCTGCCGTGCCGCCTCCGTGCGTGGTGCTGGAGGTCAGACTGGTTCATGGGGCAGAAGCAGAGGGTGCAGATGGGCACGGGCTGGCAGAACAGCAGTGCCCCCGCGGTGGGGCTCTCTGTCCAGCCTCCGAACAGCCACGTTCATCTGCCGACTTGCAGAAAAGGGAGGCGAGAGCTGACACCCCTGTGAAAAGTGCCAACCAGGCCAAAATAGCTGGTGACAAGTTCCCGTTCCTCCGTCGGTGGGACCCGTGGTTGTCCGTTGGGTTGCGTCTCTGACGGCGTCTTTCATCACGCAGGTGCCGACGTGGCGGCGACGGAGCCCAGCAGCTCGGAGCGGAGCGGTCGGACCCCTACGGCAACGCGGACGAAGCCCTGGGCGGCGGGGAAGCCAGCTACATCTCCCAGCCCCTGACCCCGGAGAAGGAGGACGCGCTCCAGGCTGCCACCGTCGCCAACCTGCGCGCGGCTCTCATGAGTAAGAACAGTTTGCTGTCTCTGAAGGCCGACATGCTGGGAGAGGATAGTTCCCTGCTCTTCGAGTACTTACCCAAAGGCACGCATTCTCTCTCTCGTAAGTTGGCGGTTTTCATGCTTTTTGTTTGCTGACACTTTGTGTGGAATCTTTATTGAGAAGGAAATACAGGTCGCTGTCTCGTGTGTTACGACTGGTGACGTTTCTATCCAGTTTGAAGTCCTGCTTAATCTCACTTTCCGTGAAATTTGGAAACCCGTGTCTGATATTGATCCAACTTTAATGTTAACTACTGAAACCACGGAAGGAAAATGTTTAGTATGTGTAGCGTTTGCCCTCAAATTTCTCTTTTACTTGCTTGCAAAATGATGCTTACCAAGAAAATATAAAGTATTTGAGTCCTGTTAAAAGAAGTAGCTACAAAGGTTTCGAATCCAAAATTGACTAATGTTGAAAGAGTGGAGGGTTGACTATTGCTCTTGTGTGTGTAGAAACAGTTGTGGTTTTGTAAATCGCGTGATCTTTGCTTCTTGCTGTTCACTTCTGGTGAACTTTCTTGCTGCTCATTCTCTAAGTAACGAGCAGCTATCCATTGTTTTGTTAAACTCGTGCGTGGAAATGAATGTTTTTCCTCTGGTGATCTGTTGGAGACAGCTGATGTTTGGACAGCTGATTTTTCAGCATACCTGAAAATGTATTTTCTTCGTTGCAGTTGTAAAATGGTTCGACTCTCTAGCGTGCAAAGGAAGAAAAATTATTAATGCTGTGTTTTAATGCTCTCAGAAGATGATGATCTAATTTGTGACATAAAATAGAGCGAGGGGTGGCTTTGGGTGCTGCGTGCTAGTTTCCAGCAGAACAGATTTATTTTTAAACTATACTGAGAAAATTGACAAATGAAATCTTCACTTAAGATATCTATTGTTTTATTTTTGCTTTCCTCAATAGAAAAATTTAGATAATGGTCAAATGGGTGTTGTGATAAAGGGGCATAACTGCTCAGCATAATGCCGGTATCTCTTTTCACTTCTCGTGTCTGAACAGTAGAACTATTTAAAAAAAAAAAAAAATCTTTCTAAATTTAGAGAAAAAAAATACTTTTTTTGTACCTTATGCTGCAGCTCCAACGTTGGAGGGGGATCGCTGATGCAGTGTTCTCATTTCTTCCGCAGTAGTTCGCTGGCTGAACGATTTCCAATTAAATCAGATTTAGATGGTTCAGAGCAGGCTCCCGGGTGAAAATCCCTCCGTTGCAGCAAGCAGCAGAGCTCCCGTGCAGAGGTGCAGTCGCCGGGCGAGTGTGCAGTGAGCAGAGTGCCCTCAGCTGGCACCGGGACGGGCAGGAGCGGGGATGGGTGATTGACACACCGCG